ACTCTACTGTCTACATTTCTTTTTAGATTCGGACATGGCATCAGTCATCTGTGGGCAAAATTAAATTATTTAAATAAGACAGAAAATCCAGCAGCTGTATATTGAAAATATCTTTTGATTTTTCCGAAAACATTCCATAATTCGAACATATTGCAACAATTTGCTCGAATTATGCAGATTGCACTGTAATTATATTACCGATTGCTAAAACTTTCAAAAAGAAACTATTGAGGAGTACTCGTGTAATTTTGCATGATTGAATATTTAACTACTAATAACTAAAGTCATGATTGGCGTAATTTATCTATCCTTGCTAACTACGGGTACAAAACTAAAATTTAATAAAAAATAATGTACTTACTTTTCTCCAGCACTCTCAAATAAAATAACACTGACTCACTATAATTTGTGTGATATACTATCTCTTTATATTTTTTAGAATATTTTCTTAGCACTTTCCTTTTCAAGATTCAGGAAACGAATAAACGTATTAGTCCCACATTCGTATTTATAGAATGACGAATTGAACAAGTCAGTGCAAGGTAGCGAAGCTCTGAGACTGCGACTCTCAGGTTTTTACAAGTTCAAAATGTATTGCGACCACAAAGCGAATACCAACATCCTACAACTTACACAATTTTATAAACATATATAATACATTTTTTACTTCATAGGTACTTTTATAAATAATGTATATGTTTTGATATTGTGTTGAGATCCACTACCGTGGACCCCCATATTCATTTCATGGACCCCCAAATTTTTTTTCGCTGACGTAGACCCCTTGCAGGTTGTCATAGACCCCTAGGGGTCGATATAGACCACTTTGGGAATCAATGTATTAGACCGAACAAAAATAAATTAATTTTTTCAGAGACCGTAAAACATTGATGTAAAAATGTATTTTTCTTAGATAGGCGAAAATGCTGTCCGCCTTATTTGACCCGTATTAATGTTGCTGTGAGGTCATTTCATTTGCGAACAGCATCTGACGCCAGAATAATCTCTCAAACTTTTGAACGTGTAATCATGACTTCTACTAGTTCACGTGATAAATATAGCAACGTTCGCTATTGTAAAACAATATCCCATTTTCTCCGTCGTGTGTGTGTCTGTGTACCTTGAAGCAATTCAATTAGTTAAATACGAACACGCAAATAGATAAATTAAACGGATCAAGTCCATCAACAAAAATTAGCCCATAACACTCTTTCCCTGCCCTACCCGTAGTACTGTCCATCTGGCAAAGTCGCATCGCCTCTCCCTAGTACCTAAATACAGGGTGCGTCAGACTCAGTTAAGGGCCAGTCATGCGAAACTTGTAAACACCGGCACGCCGGCCGCTGAAGTCACACAGCAGAAGCAGGGACGCTTGTCAAAACATTCTTCTATCGTTTCAAGTTTTAATGGCAAATGTACGGGGAAATCTGTGATGTGTGAAATATGTCTGATAGGTGCATATAATTTCCTTCATTGTAAGTGTAAGGGCCGATTTCACCAACATTATTATTATGGACCAATAGGAAAATACCTTATCGAAATGCAATTTGATGGAAGCTGTCAAATGTCTCAGAATATCAGTGATTTCTATTAAAATGTTGAATAAAAACGTAAAAATTCGACTGTATTATAAACAAGACCACTTTTTGATTCCAACGTGATGCTTTTGTACAGAAAAAACAGGACAACTTTCATGTATTTTGATATATGTTATAGGTTTACATTTAACAATCCGTTGTCCCCTCAGCAAATGGGAATGGAAGAAATAATAGGTCGATTTTCTAGCTGTTAAATTTGGCAGCAGGTTTGGTCATTTGTTAATTCATGGCAATCTCGAAATTTGTTAAGTTCAATATACTGTGTGTATATTATGAGATCGTTATAGCTGCACATACCTGTTGAATTGTGCGGATTTGCAAGAAAATAGAATATAAAATGTATTCCAACCAATTCTTCATCTCTCTTTACATCATAATAGTAATCATTTGTTATAAATTCATGGGTTAATGAATTTCTTCAAAGCAGTCAAAACAGTATGTCGTCCCCATCCTAAAACACCGATATGTGTAAAACATGTTAATCCCTACATCTCCGAGGTGCATAATGCATTTAGTGTAGACATAGACCTAAAATTATTAGTATTTACTGAAAAATAAGAGCTAAAAAGAATTATAAATTGTGATAAAATCTTGGTGGTTAAGGTTTTTGACTGGTGACTGGTGGGGATACAATATAGGGATGACGACGATAGAGAAAGATTTTTCCCTGCTGGCCCTTGACACCGTTTCTAAATATGAAATTCTGGAAACGCTATAAAAATAAAAATGAATACACAAAGCCTACTTGCCTATTTCAGACAAAAACAAAAACACATAACGATTGTCACCTTGACATCATTCTGCAGTCTGTCAAAGTAGTAATGCCTGCTGCACGGTAAACGGTATCGATATTCGATAACATATTTTTCTTTCTACCATGAATGCGTGGAAAAAACAAAATAAGGAGAGATCTAAAACAAAAATAAGACTTGGAATTAATAAAGTTTATTTCGACAGTTGGCAGAGTTTGCTCCACTGGGTAGTGGTGTTGAAAGAGTAATCATACTCGTTACTCATAGATACCCGAAGTAACGAGTACCAATCCGAGCACGAAATGATTACTTTGAGTACTCTGTTTTCCGTATCCCTACCCGGTACCTGTACAATCGTTGATCGTTGAGTGGTAACGCTGGTTAGACTGTAGCACTACCGCACATGCACCAGGGTTGCCAGACATCCCACGTTCAGATGGAAACCTGGAAAATCATTTTTTTTTATTGGCGGACATTGAATTTGGTAATTGTTTTTAAATCTGAAGTTTACCTATTTACACCTTGACAGAAATTCGCTTTTATTGTTGTGAACTTGGGAACCTTTTTTTTATACTCCAACTACCACGAAGGCCTAAGGCCTAAGCAGCCATTGGGTACCGTGGGGCTATAGGGGGATACATGGGAAAAGGGGGGACGCCACAAGGACTCTGGCGAGGGACACATTCTGGCTCCGCCTACGAGAACCGCCGGGTGGTACCTCCGCGTTCGACAGTCAGAGACCATCTACCACCTACGGACAATCACAACATCCATAGCCAAGAGAAAAATTTTTCCTGGGACGGGACTCGAACCCGCACAGCGAACGGCGACTGATCAGGAGACCGAAGAGTCTACTACTGCGGCCACCGCTGCTGTCTGAAACAAACACACAACATCCATGGCGAAGGCGAGATTCGAACTCGCGGCCCGGCCGGCCGGCTGATCAGTAGCATGACACTCTGACCCACGCGGCCAACCGAGGTCCCCCAACCTGAAAAGGAATAAAGTCGATTGGATCGGATCAAAGCTCGGCAGTATTATGAGGCAGAAGAGCGACAACACGGTAACACCACCGTTCAGGAAAACCACAATAATAAAAGTGATATCAATTTGACTCGTGTTTCCATGCACTGTTTTACTAAAAAAATTATAATTCAGTATGACCACCAATATCTGTAGACCAAGCTCAACGTAGAATTTTTTATACTGGCATATTATGCTTAATTGAAATGCTTCGAAAAGTCACATGCCATTTCGAATTTCCTTAAGCCCATATACAGATCATCTTTCTGACTAAAAGACACGTTTTTAAGTATTACTAGTAAATACAAGGTATTTTCAGTTTGTAGGCTCATATGAGTCATATGACACTCCATTCTATGATAACTCATCTCAATAAGAATACAGTTTGAAGATACAATGTTTGCATTAAACACGATAGTCTTGAATAAACTATGCTTATAACATATTGCAAATTTTAAGGTAGTCTATTTTCTTACAAGATTCGGTTCCATTCAACTTGTTTACATTCGACATTAATCACGCGACGCACATTGCCAAATCATTATACTCATACTACTCATAGTAATCAAAGTAACGAATACAATAAACGATTACTTTGTAGAAGAGTAGCGATTAGTAACGAGTACTCGAAAGTAACGATAACCAACACCACTACCACTGGGACGAAGTGTTGACGGATCCGACAGAATTATGTGTCACTTGTCGATATGGTTAGTTTTGAAATATCAGGAGATAATCAGCTGTTATTCAAATCAGTGTATATGTTTTGCGATTCAAATAACGTCTAATATAAGTATAACCCAGAATATGTACTCAGTGCAACAAAAAAGTTATTTCAAATGTCTAGTTTTTCTGCAGGTTTTAAGTTTGCCGGGAGGTTTACGACATATGTTTGAGTATTTGTTGATCGCTGTGAATTTAGTGTGCATGATTGTTAAGTTCCTGAACAACGAAAAATATTCAACTTTAAGGATGTATGGATATTAAAAAACCAGAATGGTTTTGTGTGAATATCAATGTAAGGTGTCATAATGGTTCTGATGAACGGCAAGTAAATGAATTAATGTTTGGAAACGAGCAATATCTATGAACTTTTTGGTAGAGCCAGTCATCAAGTAGGTGCTTAATGGCTATCTGCAACAGGTTTATAGGAAAAAACACCCAGTAGATGATCTTGAATCAGTAAAATCGCATATCAATTGAAGAAAATAATATTATCATGAATAAAAAATCAACAACGGTAATTAAAACAAAAATCAAACATTTGTTTAAATTTTGACTGAATTATATGTAATTTCTTAATATTCAATAACCTGGTGATGTTTCAATGACAAGTTGTCATCTCATACTTTGACAATATTTTGTTTTCAACATTTCATAGCTATTGGTTGCTAAAAATTGTTGATTGGAACTTGAAGCTCATTCGCTGTATTTGACGGACTGTTACCCTATGGGCGTTTTCACACTAGCCGACACGACACCGGCACGATCACGGCACGACAACGACACCGACACGATAAATCGGCGGGTATTTTCACATTTACCGACAGTGTCGTAGTGAGCGCCGAGAGATTATTGCAGATATGGCCGTTGATAACTTGTATTTGCTATATTTGATGCATTTAAGACGCAAAAAGAGACGCCAGCAAAGGAGATTCTGGGTACATCCAATTATAAAAGTTCGCTACTTATTACTTATTACACTCTTTTTGAAAAGCTAGCTAATGATCCTGATAAATTTTTTAATTACTTTCGAATGAGCCATGAAACATTTAACTATGTGCTGAATAAGTTAATTGATGGAATCAAAAAACCAGATACGCGATTTAGAATGGCTATACCGCCTGAAGAAATGCTAGCTGTAACAATAAGGTAAGTTTTTTTCATATTTTGTAATATTAATTTTAAATAAATGAAAGAAGCGTTGAAAAGGTTATATTTGCAACTTTCAATAATAATAATCATAGCAAAAAGTATTCCAAAGTCTAAAATGCATACATTGTTTTTCAAATGAAAAAATGAACATTGGGCAGTCATAAAGAGCTCAGTCTGCAGTAGAGTCAAATAGTTGTTGGTGGGGATTGATCAGATACCTTCCAGCTGGTCTTTCATCCTGTTGTTCATATTCGCTGTTTTGCTCGTCCACTTGGGAAAGGGTGGTCGAAGAGTATGGAGATGTCACAGTACCCTGTGGGCTTGGGTATGGGTCTGTGGAGTTACTCGCATGCGTTCTCGGAGGCGCAGTAAAGGAAAATCTGTTAGAAGTCAAGTTTGGTTCATTTTGGGTGAAGCATCGCTTATCTTTAATTTCCTTGATCTTCTTGAGAATTTCGATATGCAATTCCAAAAGCTCGGTCTCATTCATATCTCGTGTGTGGGGCACAAATGATAGGAGCACTATTTCGTTGTCAGCTCGAACAGGGAGGGCACAAGACTTTGACTGAGAACCATTTTCTGACAATTTTGCCCTTTTTAATTCAGTTAAAATTTCGCGCTCTATGAAGTCTAATTCTCGTTTGGATTTTGGATTGTTCTTGTCTTGTGTCGGAAGTAAGACAGTTAACGGGGCGCTAGCTGTTGTTGCAGGCATGTCCACCCTAGTTTCCGTAGCAGGTATCGACGACGGCGACTGCAAGCCTTTACTATACTCTTCTTCAGACTCTCCTGCAAGACTGCTCTGGGTAAAATTGCTTTCGGTTTCATCTTTTTGTGCCACTTTAAGCAAAAAGTTTAAATGTTCGCTGTAAATATATCTTTTCTTGGCACCTTGCCCACTTTTGGTTCGTAAAGATCTCATAAATGCATCTCTAATATTCGACCACTTCTGCATAATCATTTCACCTGTAACAAAAATTAAAATTTAATGAAATAAAAAGTCATAAAATGCATCATAGTTGGAAAAGAGACACTTTTCAACTGTCAATATTTCGAGAACAGTGAAATTTAGGCGTAGGATGTGCTGCTTGAAGACTAGAATTTCAAAAAGAATCCAAAAATTCACTAAAATAGAGAGTGTTCCATGTAAAATGTCAGTGTTACCATTTGTTTCGAGTAGATCTGGCAACACTGCATTAGCAAAAATATCTTTAAAATATAAATTATCGCCTATTATGGCCGTATGCCAGATTTGAAAAAGTTCTCTTTCTTAGTTCTTTAGAACTTTCAATGGGACACTCAACGTGACTGACCCTATAATAAACTTTCGCGAAAAAATACTAAATAATATTTTTTTCAGATATTTAGCCTCAGGATGTACGTTGACCGAATTACATTATACCTATCGAATTGGGATATCAACGTTAAGTCAGATCATAAATTTAACATGTCGCCAAATATGGGACATATTCAGGTCATCATTCCTTAAAGAAATGACGAAAGAAGATTGGACACTGGTCGCCAATAAATTCGAGAAAACAGCGCATTTTCTTATGTGTCTCGGGGCCATTAATGGGAAACATATTCGGATAGAAAATTTCCCTAATGCGGGAGCAATGAATTTCAATTATAAGAAGTTCTACTCAATAGTTCTGTTGGCAATAGCCGATGCAGACCACAAGTTCTTGTTCGTCGACATTGGAGCATACGGAAAGGACTGCGATTCATCTATTCTACAAGGCACTGAATTTTGGAGAAGGCTAATAAGTTCAGAACTGGATCTTCCAGATGCGAGGCCAACTACACCTACAATGGGCTTAAAGGTGCCTTATGTTTTTATTGCCGATAGCGCATTTTCCATGAATGAGCACATCCTAAAGGATTTTTCCAACCATAATTTAAGCATCAAACAACGTGTCTTCAATTACAGATTACATAGAGCTCGGCGATATGTCGAATGTGCATTCGGAATACTAACCAACAAATGGCGTATATTTCACAGAGCACTAAATGTGGCCAAAACTTTCTCCAAAAACATTGTCAAAGCATGTGTAGTATTACATAACATAGCACGTGTAAGAGATGGATATCGTACGGACGATTTAATTGTGACTTCCGGTTCCCAATTGAAAAATATACCTAATACCAAACAAGAGCCAAAACAGTCTACTAATAAGACAGGACAAGGTGTACGGTCCTGTTTTGCGAATTATTTTGTCAGTAAAGAGGGTGCACTACCATGGCAGTTATTAAAAATTTAAATTTCATAGCTTAGGTAGATACTCTGTATTTGATTACAGTTTACACACACATAATAAAAGATTAAAAAAACTTACCAATCTTTTTCTTTTGCGCTGCTGACAATTGAACATATCTATCTTCTAAATATTGGAAAACATCCTGCCAACTGTTTTCTCTCAGTATTTTATTTTTACTATTATCATTTGTTTTGTCCCAAAGACACGGTTTTGATTCAACAAGTTCTATAAGGGTAACAATGTCATACTTGAAATTAGCCATGACAACTAGAAGACGTCAACGACATGAGTGGAGTGGTTGCTCCTCGCCGACATGTCGGTGCCTGTAACGAAACGACACCGACATATCGGCGAGTGTAAAAGCGTTCCCGTTTAATTAAATGATATTACGTGTCCACCGGTATCGTTGTCGTTGTCGTGTCGGTGTCGTGTCGGCTAGTGTGAAAACGCCCAACGGGTGGAGAATAACGGACTGTTGTTGGTGAAATTGGCCCTAAGTATACTAACATCAAAAACTTCCAAAAGACATTCACACAACACCCCACCCCCCAATTTTTTAACCCTTAATTACTCGCATGGGGTCAAAGCAGTTTCGCATTCAAAAACGAAGGATTTCCCCCGGTCCTAATTTCCCCGTGCCCCCGCTAGCTTGAGACCGCGCGTCGACGTTTGTGTTTTAGTAGCGACGATGTCACAGGAGTCTAAGGACACGTCGTTGCGCTTTTGAGCAGTGACCCCGTGCGACTAATTACGTTACTTTTTTGAAAAAGGTAAGTTGCTTATTTTATGTATTTTTTTGTGTTTTATTGATCCGATTTGTATTATTGAATGTCCAGTTTATAAATTTATTTAATAAATATGTTTTGTGTAGTTTTATAAAATGAAAGTACCGAAAAATTACGTTTTACTATGAGTTTTGTGTCTGTTTCCAGAATTCGTCATGGATAGAAGAGAACAAATTGAGAACTGGTTGGTTGAGGCTTCTGATGAAGAACAAGTTGGAGGGTCAAATTCTGAGTCGGAGTTAGACGAGATAACACAAAGCGATATAATAGTGCTAGTGAAATCGACGAATTGTCCGCACACTCCAGTGAGTCTTCAGACAACGAGGACGACGGCTGTGCAGGGCAGTATGATAAATTCTATTTTACCAGACATAATGGCAGAAACGGTCCTAAACAAAAATGGTCAAAGTCTCCACCAACAAGCTCCGTAAGAACACGAAGACATAATATACAGGTAACTTTACACTTACCCAGTGTCAAGTCATCAGCGAAATCCGCAAAGACTGCTTTGGAATGTTTTAGTTTGTTTGTTTGATCATGTCTGGAGTGTTGAGAGCTTCACATCTCAATTTCATAGATCTCTGGGCCACCGACGGAACCGGTGTAGAGATGTTTCGTTGGAACACTGAAGAAAAACAAACCCGATATACCTGAGGAGATTTTACCAGACAGAAGTCAATTCAGCTGTCTGTTCGGATTTCAAAAGACTCTAACCATGGTTTCAAATGTGCCAAAACCAAATCAAGCTGTTGTGTTGTTATCCTCCATGCACCATGGAGCTTACATCGGCCCAGGTTCAGGTGATCAGCAGAAGCCTGGAATAATTATGTATTACAACAGCACTAAAGGAGGAGTGGACACCAATGCTCATTTGTGTGGTACATACAGCGCAGGAAGGCGAACCAAACGATGGCCGTTAGCTATTTTCTTCCATCTTATAAACGTTGCATGCATAAATGCTCTCGTTGTACATCGGACAAATACCACTAAATCACGTACTCACATGAGGCGTAATTTTTTGCGGCAATTTTCCGTTGAACTTGTCCATAATCACCAGAAACGTCGGCTTGATGTCCATTCAACTCCTAAAGTAATAAAGAAACGACTTGTAGAAGTTCATGACTTGGACAACCGCGCCCCACCAACCACTGCAAAACGTGGGCGTTGCAACAACTGCCCGCGGAAAAGTCATCGAAAAGTATTGACTAAATGCAAAAAGTGCACAAAATTTGTGTGCAATGATCACTCAGACATATACTGTCAACAGTGCAAGAAAAGTGATTCGGATAGTTCCTAACATAATCATAAAAATTTGCCTTGATCTCTTGATATAAGTACAAATTGTTAATTTTCAACTATTATTTTATATAAGCTCAATTTTTTTCATTAGATAGTAATTCATGTTATTTCTCTTAAATATCATAATATAAATAAAGCACTTTAATAATAAAATAGTTTGATTTCATTTTATATTTAATATATTTTAAAAAAAATATCCTACAACTTGGGGTCACCTGTGACCCCATGCGAGCAGTTATGTAATGTTCTTCATGCGAGTAATTAAGGGTTTTAAAAATCGACACTTGATCGATCTTTATCTTTGGCATTTTTCTACGACGTCACTGAAACGATTTTCAATACTATAAAACTTTTTTGTTCTCGGGATAGTATAAAAATTTCAGCCAATTCCGAGTCGTACTTTCCAAGTTAAAGAGGGCCCAAGCGTTAGCCGACCATCCGACAGACAGATAGACGGTCTGGCAAAAATGAGTAGCATGATCTTTCGTAATGTACATGTCATATAAGATCCAAAAAACATAATATCTCGTTACAATACTTCCAGGCCCACACCACATATAGTTTGGCAAACGGATCTGCAACATCGGGGTATCGGTGCGGGGAAAGCAAAACATGGCTGGTTTCATTCATAAAATGCCAGCGGCGTGCGGTATTTTATAAAAGTTTGGGATTATTTCATAATTGGGTTAAATTTAGTAAACTATACGTTTATGTTTCACTTTAAATTTGGGGAGTATCTCAATAAGCCCACAATGATATGGAGCATTGTCCATAATAATAAATAAAGTCTCGGGTAAACTCAAAAATAGCTGTTCTCTACAATCTACACCATGTAAAAAAATACTTGAGTTTGTTTCTACACTTCAACAAACGGAAAAATGTCTACTCACTTCCCAAAATTGCCACAATTCAAAAAATCATGATAACTGCGCGATTTAAAACCTAAATCAAGCTAGCGTTTTTGTCAAAGCCGTAAATAAAATATATTTTTCAAATACAAATAGATACTTAACGTGGTTTTTTTACCTTGAGAATATATATATATATATATATATATATATATATATATATATATATATATATATTATACATCCGTGATCTTATAATATGCTCATTTACTTTAAAAAGTGCCACAAGCCGAAACATGACCAGAATTAATTTTTATTTTATAATCCGCATCTTTCTGGATTCCTATTGTTGCAATTTTGGACTGTTGATGTGGATATTTCTAGAGCATCGGTGTCGCTTAAATAGAAACAAAGAACTTTAAACATATTTCATATCCGTTTAACTTATAACCTTTGTAATAAATAATACTTACATTATACAGCATTTCAAAATTACATTTCACCTATTGAATTAGCATTGGTGTTCGTCAACTTCATCATTATCATCATCGTCACTGTCGTCATCAGTTTCGCTGTCGTTATCTTGCCCTATACTTATTATAACTGGTTCCATTTCCTCCATAAATTGATCATTTTCCCAAAATTTATCTTCAATGTCCCTAGCATGTTGACAAAATTTCTGCCAATCATTAATGGATATTAAGGACATCGCTTCCTGAGTAACTTCTTTCAGTGCGGTTAAACTGAAGTTTCCAGTGGTATTGCGGCTTCTTATATGAAATTTAAGCTTTGCCCAAGCTAATTCTATTGGGTTTAGCTCGCATAAATAAGGAGGTGTTCTTAGAGGAGTATGTCCATGTGATCTTATGATCCGATCAACTACATAATTTTTTTGGTTGTCAGGGGGCTTATGAAGTAAGACCAGATCGAACAAGTCAAATTTTCTGGCAGTTGCCTCATGATTTATGCCTATAAAATATTTTATTGTATAGTTTGATATGTACATGCATGTTTTGAGTCATAAGTACCTTTCTTTGTCAACCAGGCCATTATATCTTTTTTCGAAGATGATTTTGTCGGGGTTTTATCTTCCTGGACGGAATGATATGGAGCATTGTCAAATACTATAACCGAATTGGCAGGTATATTCGGGAGGAGTTTTTCTGTGAGCCAGCTTGTGAAATTTTCCCGATTCATCTGACCGTGGTAATCGCCTGTAGCTAATCCCGCCTTAAATATCAAACAGGCATTGTCAACAAATCCATTTTCTGAACCTGCATGCACTATAATGAGTCGACCTAAAATATACAAGACGATTATATAATATGTTACAAATCAGAGTTAAATTTAACATATATATAGCATTTTTGCTTACCTGTAGAACCTATACTGCTTATTACACCAGAAACAGTTTCGCTCTGCCAGCATTTTTTGAAAGTCAAGTCATTGTCCACCCAGGTTTCGTCCAAATAAACAATATTGCGCCCTTCTTCACGATATCTACGTATTTCACGGATGTATTTGTACCTCCATTGCAATATATTAGGCCTCTCCATCAAAACTTTTCTTTTATTTTGACATTTGCGCCAAAAAAAAACTTTTGATTTTAATAAACTCCTGAGTGTTTCCCTAGAATAGGGGAAATTTGAGTCTTCTCGCAACTTTTGTAATAACTTCCTAGTTGTCCGGACAACTTTATATTCAAGATAAAATCTGTTTATCAAATGTCTAATAATCTGAAAATCAAAATCTTCATCTTTCTCAACAAGAGACTGACGCGGTCTTTTTTTTCCGGGGCTGGAAAGCATTTTATTCAGGTTATTTTCTAGTCTTTCTTTATCTTCGTTATGAATTTTCCTAACAGAAGATACTCCGACTCCGGTATAAAGGGACACCCTATCAAGCTTACGTTTAAGCGGCAACTTGAGGGAATTGTTTGCCGCTTCCTCATCGCAAACCCTATAAATAATCATCAGAATGTTAGCTTAGCATTTCCTTGTTTTTTATTTATATTCAGACTCAGTCGTCAAAAACTACAATTATTGCATATTATTATTACTAACCTATAAACATTCGCAATCACTTCTCTTGTTTGGCTATGAAGCGTCTTTCCGCGAGTAAATTGGTTCATTTTAAAAAATAATACTAAAACGAATAACAATAACAAATAACAAAACACTAAACTATTCAAAACCACACAGCACTAAACATACAAACTTAATAGAACAATAAATAGTTAACAATAATAGTTGTAAAACTCATACACGACAATCAACGGAGGTAAAACCTACGTCACTGGACTTTTCAATAGTATGGATATTCTAAGAAAGGAGCAAAAAATTGTCTGGGACGCTACCCAATAGGGAGTCGAATTTTCTCATGGTGACAAAACATGTGAGGATATCCGCCAATCAGATTCGTTTAGGCGGTGTCCAATATACCTTTCGGGTGGTTGTTGCCAGCTCAACCGATGTCGATAAGATCTTTGGAAAAATGTTTACTTATAATACGATTCAGTAGTAAAAAATAGTTATTAAATACAAATAGAGCTAACAACCCATTAAAATACTCAGTATTTTAAATTATTATTTTTTGGAATTGTGAAAAATCGATTCTCAAATCATTGAAATTACTTTTATTATTATTATTGCTTTTTTGTAGTTAAATTTGGCAATATCGAATATTTTCGGTCGCATTCCTTTCGCTGTTGCAGATCCGTTTGCCAAACTTTAGGTTGATTGATCATTCTGGCTAGATTGTACTTGTAAAACACGTTACTTATACGCTTTTTTTTTCAGTAAAAATTTCTAAGAATAAAAATAGTCTATATATCACATTCTTCTTAGTAGGTAAACAGAGACCTTTTAACAACCTCAAAACGAGATAAAATCGTTTTGAACTTGAGTTGCCTCCGGATTGCTTTTGATCTAACAGTACTTAAAAGGAAACCAGTATGCACCATCAGCTTTACAGCCCCAAGGGATTTGTATGATCAACGTTCAATCTGCGGCTATAAACCCTTCTTTGAAAGTTTGCTGTCCTCCGTGAGCTGCTGTGCATCCCAAAGCATATAAAAGTATCTAGCAGATATCGCTTCCGTCCTGTGAGAGGGCAACTTCCATGCCATCAGAGCTTTCAGAGCGACTGAGACACACCACCATACCATACTATCAATTCCACGGCTATGGCCTTTTACGC